ACAGCAGACAGGTGGGTGGGGGGAGTGAGACTGACAAGGGAAAGTATCCTCTCTCTGCCTTCCCTTCTCTAAGTGGCCCAGGGTAGCTGGAGAAGGGAAGGCAGGGAGCCCAGGTCGCGGTGGGTTGGCTGGGGAAGTGAAGGGCAGGTATCAAAACATGCTGCTGCGGAGAAGCTTAGGGAGAGAAGGGGAAGAAAGAGAAGGCATGTTTAAATGCCTTTCTTTCCCTCCCCAAACTGGGAGAGGGGAAGAAAGGCATTTAAACACGGCTGGGCTCTCTGCTTGCACTTCTCCAGCAGCCCCAAGGCAGCTGGAAAAGGAAAAGAAGAGAGGGGAGGCTTTCCCTGGTCAGTTTCACTCCCACAGCTGACTGGCAGGGGAGTGAAATGGACTAGGGAAGCCACAGAGGGAGGGAAGTAGGCATTCGGCTACCCAAAAGCTGAAAAAGCCAAATAAATTCGGAAAACTGTATTCGGAAGCTAAAAAGTTTTCTGAACTGGCATTTGGCTTTAGGAATACCGATCAATACCGATAAGGTATTTAATTTGTATTTTTTGGTTCGGTAAAGCTGAATGCACATTCCTAGTGTACACCCAAGAACATTTCTATTTTCTATTTATTTACTTTATTTATATCTTGCCTTCTACCACACTGGGGATTCAAAGCAGCTTATATTGTTTGTCTCACCTCCGTTTTATCCACACAGCCACCCTGTGAGGTTATGTTAGGCTGAGAATGTGTGATTGGCTCAGTCAGTTATCAGAACATAAGCAGAGCCCTGTGGATCAGACCAATAGTCCATCTAGTCCAGCCTCCTGTCTCACACAGCGGCCAACCAGTTCCTCTTGACGGCCAACAACAGGACATAGAGGCTGAGGACTTCCCCTGATGTTGCCCCCTGGCTCAGGGATTCAGAGGTTAGCGCCTCTGAATGGGGAGGTTGCCTTCAGTCACTGTGGCTAGTAGCCATTGGTAGACTTCTCCTCCATGAATCTATATAATTCCCTTTTAAAGCTGTTTATTCCTGTGGCCATCACCACATCCTCTGGCA